GCCACCAGTGAAAAGAGGCCGCCCCATCCTCCTCACTGCCTCCCTTGAGGTACTTCTAGACACTGCTCAGGTCCCCTCTCAGCCTTCTCTTCTCCAGCTGAACAGGCCCAGCTCCCTCAGCCTCTCCTCACAGGGCAGATGTTCCAGGCCCCTGATCATCCTCGTAGCCCTGCGCTGGCCTCTCTCCAGCAGCTCCACATCCTCTTATACTCTTATACTTCTCCACTGACCTTAAATCCTGCGACAGCCCCGGACTGTAAATCCGACTCGATGTTGCCCGGGTCCAGGTAGGCGATGCTCATGAGGAAGCCCGGCCCCGTGAAGGCCCAGAGCTTGCGGAAGCTAAAGCAGGAGTGCTTGGGAAGGGGAGAGAGGAGCGGGAGGTGAGAACCCACGGGAGCCCCCAACCCTCCTTATCCACCCCCAAAACCACCCGATACACCAAGTGCCAAAGGACTGCCAGTTTCTACTCATTTTTCCACAGAAAGGAGCCCTGGGGTGATCAGTCCTAAATCTATGGCAATTCCTTTACTTTGGGACAGCCAAGGCAACAATCAGCTCCACCACGGCGGGAACTGAAGCCTCCTTTGCCTGCTTTGAGGTGAGAAGAGCACCTATATGTTGAACTTAAAGCCCTCCGAGAAGACAGTCCCCCCCAGGGCTGCTACAGGGGCCAGTTAGGTCTTGATAAGGGATCAAAGAGCGACCGTCCCCTCCCCTGGGGCTACACACAAGGAATGTCTTTGCTCTTTGGCCAGGTTTGTCACCTGCTTTGTAGAAGAGAAATTACAAATGGGGAATCAGGACCACAGATTCAGCCCCTTCTCTCCCAGATCTGCACCCACTGGAGCAAGACGGCCTTTCCACCCTTCCCAGTCTCCACAGAAGGGGAAGCAGCACCCAAGGGAATTACTCACACGGGTGCCGAACGCGCTCGGATTTTCCCATCGGATGAGCTGGCTACACTTACCGTTTCATCCTCGGGAATCGGGATCTTGCTGTCGAAGTAGGTGGTAAAGGGCTCTTCAGAGGAGGCGTCTGGAGGCTGCAGGGGGTTCATGCTGCTGGAAATTGTGCTGACAGCCTCCCCGTTTTCCCCAGAGGCATCTTCTGGAGGGATGAGAAAGGAGAAAAGCAGCAAGGAGTTACTATGAGGCTCTCTGGAAAGACACAAAAACCGGGGAGATACTCGGCAAGACCCACAGGCAAAGCGAAAGAGCACGTCTGGCTTCACAATTAACACCAGCCAAGCTATTTTTGAGAAATAAACACGTGAAAATAACACATAAAACGGCCCCAGGGGCCTCGTGCAGACTGGGTTGCCTGAACTCTCCCTGTTTTGCACAAGGAGGGCAGGCCGGGCGAGCTGGCAGCTCATTTGGATTCGCTTTGAAATGCAGCCCCGTGGCATTAACCTAATGATTAACTGCAAGGCAAATCCAAAGGGAGACGACATGTCCACTTCTCCACGACCACAGGGAGCCTCCCCGGAGCCGGCCGGGAGAAACGGGTGTCTGAGGAGGCCAGGGAGGTCCGGGAAGGATCCGCTCCGGGGAGGATCCGTGGAAAGCACAAGGCAGCATTTGTTTGGAAGTAGGTGACAAGCAGGAGACCAGCCGATAATCCTGCCTTCTCCTAAAGCATGGGAGGAACGGGGAGAGAGCCAGCCAATTTCAGGACAGTTTCTAAATTCCGCTCGTGAGGAAGACGCGTGGGGTTAGTCCGGCGACGAAGGCACAAGGAGCCCGATGAAGAACCACACGCACAAGCTACATGTAAAGACAAATCTTGGGTGATTCCTGAGGACAGGGAATACTCACTGCGGCTGCCCACGCGGGGCATCTCGCCCTCGGAGCCGGAGAGCAGCGCGTGGCCCGAGGCTCGGCCGGGACAGCGGCACTAAGGGCAAGGCCGGCGCTTTTGCCAAGTTTCCTGTTGCATCATCAGGGCAAACTGAAGCCGGCGGCTCCTCCTCTTCCCTGCCTCCCAAATAACCCCCCCGCCTCCCGGCAGAGCCGTTTCCACGTGGATCTGGAGCTGCCTGTGCGCGTGCAGGGCCGGAGAGGGATCTCACCACACAAGACTGGCCTGCTCGTCTAGTTAAGCAGGGCTCAGTGAGCTGCAGGAACCGTAAATCTATCGCTGGGGTCACTTGAGAAGCGTGGGGCTTTGTGGCTACCCTGAGATTCAGCCTATGGGAGAGCAAACCTTGAATTCCTAGGGCGGTTTTTGCAGAACAAGGGAGTAAATCAGATGGAAAACAAGGTCGATGTGTCGGAGCAAAGCCGGCCTTACCGTAGGACGCTTTCCGCTCCGCTCCGGGCCCCATCGTGGAATCCTTCCCGTGGCTGGGAAACTGGTTTAAATTGGCCACGTTGGCTGCAGAGGAGAGAGGGAAGGGTTTGGTTACCGGAATGTTTCAAGGAGAATAACAACCTGCAAGAGGGATGAGAGAATCAACAGCCACCGGCAGGGACAGAGCTGCTTCCACAGGCCCTTCCCAGCTTCCAGACCAAGGAGGAGAGTCCTTGGCCTGGAACCTGCCTGGAAACTCCGGTTGCCACAACATGGAAAGGAAGTTTTGCAGGCTCCTCCGCTTGGGACACGGCGTGTTGGGAAACTCCAGCCAGAGGAACAAGAGTGGAATTTCCTCAATGTGTCAAAAATTGCACAGCATCCTCCCCCCGGGCACGATCAACGGCCGATGTCTCTTCTAAGAGATGATTCAACTCTTTCATCATGGTGAAAGGGTCTAATTTAGGGCTAATCAGAGCCCATTTTTAGGTCTAATCCATGCAGAATGAAACAGGGATCTGCTACGGGACTTTGGATCTCATCCCCCAGGCTTTAAGCAGTCAACCCCTCGAAGCCGTCAAGGACAAGGCAAAGCACCCTATATACATTTGGGATGTAAAGCCCTCAGCCTCCATCAAAGCCCGTTACACATTAACGAGGGGTTTCTTATATCAGCCCAGTGACTCTCCACGAAGATAGGAGAGGAAAACATGAACCAACCTGGGGGTTTTAAAGATAAATTCGCTGATTCCCTAATGAGCCAACGTCCATTAAGGTGGTCCGTAACGAAGCCGGGCACGATAAGCTCACGCAGGAAGGACACGAGCGCAACTGGTATTTACCCACCCAAACCCACTTGAGGATTTTCAAGGGTTGATTCTTGAGCAAAAGGTTAATGTCGGGTGACACCGCTCCACGCTTGGGATGCACCAGCACCCCCAAAACCCCCGTCCTGGAGAGGCTTTAACCACCACCAAACCCCTCTGTGCAAACACACGAGGCCTCTTGCACGGCCACAACCACAAGGCTGCAGCAAAACTTATCTATCCCACGCGACGGTTGGGCACTTACCCTATTTTATTTCCTCCTCAGCTCAAGCACAGACCTAGGGGCTTTAAAAACCTAAGTTTTTAAAGTAAAAAATATAAAATAAATACAACCATAAGTTGTATTTTCCGAGAGCCAGCCCTGTGGACAGGAGCAACCTCAGCAGCGAGATCCGAGCAGCGGCCGCTTCCATCAGGAAGGGAAAGGGGAAGATCACAGGGTAAATACCCGGTGCAGCGCCCGGAATATCGCCCTGCAAAAGGCGTTTTGGCCCGGGTGTGCACGGAATGGGCCCCTATTTTGGCCCACAGGCTCTCCCAGCAAACGAGCTCCCGGCAAACGAGCTCCCGGCACGCTCCTTCGCCGGCGTTCCGGCCACATGGGCCCTTCTCCCACACAATTCCAACAAAAGCTGCCACTGGCCGGGAATCCAGGCGGGAATATTCTATTTCATGGACTTCCAGGCTCGCTCGGAGGACAGAACTGGAATGTTGCTAAGGGAACTAAGGCAAAAATACATCCGAGGGATCCTGCTTTAGGAAGATGCTGCCCCTGCTCTCCTACAGTGGCAGGTGGAGGAAATTCTAGGACTTGCTGGACATGGAAGGGAGGGATTTATCCTTCCTTCTCTCCATATCCTCTGTGAACATCTTCAGGCAGTTCCTTACAGAGAACAAGAGCCTTATGGGCGTCCCGAGGCCACGTCAAGGCAGAGCACCTGCAATTACAGCCTGAATTCACTCTTAAACAGGACACCCGAGCTCCCACGCGGAAACATTCCTTGGAGTAAATCAAAAGGACAAGAACGGATTACCGAGAGGCCACTCTAATCCAAAAAACAAACACACTAGTCCTGTTCTCTAGATATTAAATGGCTAAGCAGCAGGTAACAGAGCATTCTGCCGCATGCGGCACGGCTTTTTCTTGCTGAAAAACGTGCATTTTAGTCCAAGGGGCCTGCAGGGAATGTCGCTATCCGTGGCTCCTGGAGCGGCTTGGAGGGGACCGTGTAGCACGGCCTGGCCCCTCCGTCCGTATCTCGCGCTCGTGACCAAGGACAGAAGCAAAATAAGTAAAAATAGGGCTGTAAACACCGCAAGGCAGCTCGCCTGGCCGGCTCCGAAATTGCTTTGACGAGCCGGCTCCCTGCTAATTGCTCCCCTCTTCTGGTACAGTCCGGGTCACCTATTTGGCCCGGGTGAGGGCACATTTCAACCTACGCCAAGTGCCAGGACGCCCAGCCCTGTAGCTGCGATCCCAGCCGTTCGGGTCTGGAAACAGGGAGCGATTTATTTATTTGCTTTCGGGATGTGGGAAGAACAATACGTGGGAAGGAACGAGCTGAAAGGAAGGAGACTCTCCTACAGAGCAGGCTGGGATCGGAAGGGTCCTGGATTGAAGAGCACGGCGCTTGGCTGCTCCCAATGGCTCTTTCCTGGGTTTTGTGTGCGCGGAAGGAGAGGCAGGATCTCGGTGCACACCTGAGACTTGAAGTATTATTGCAACACGGGATTAAAAAACAGCGGCCATTTGAAACGTCCCCTGCAGAGCGAGGGGAGACGGGGTCCGGCTTCGCGGCGGGCGCTGCCGGCCTCGGCGTTCCCTGCTCCTCCCAAGGGAAACGCCGGAGTTTGGACCCGGCTGCGGCTCTGCGGTGATAACAGGGCGCCAAATACGCGGCCTGGATCCCCCTGGTCCTGCCTCCCTCCAGGGCTTGGGCCTGGGATAGGGTTTTCCCTGCCACACGCCCGGGTGCAGCAGGATCGGACACATCCAGGACAGGGCGCCTGGAAGGCCCGACACAACCCACGAAACTGCATTTTGGAAGGAAACAGCAAGCGGAGCCGGGAGCTGAAAAGCAGGGGTGACCTGGGCCATGGGGTGGCTCCAATCATATCCGGGCTGGCTGCTACGGCGCAAAACACGGTCTCTAGGGCTTGATTTAAACAAAACCAGCAAGGAGCTTACCCCAGGGCAGAGGATTAAAGCGGGCGGCGCGGGGATCCCGGGCCCGGCGCTACTCGGACGCGGCCCGGGTCAGACCGGGCCGGTTCCGGGGCGCCCGGACCGCGATGTGGAGCGCAGGTTCGGCAAGGACCGGGCTGGTGGGGCCGGGGACACCCAAGGTCACCAAGTGCCCGGGCAAGGGGTGGCCGTGACACCCCCCCTTGCCCAGCCA